CGCGCCCCGGGGGGGGCGGCCCCCAGGGCGCCTCAGGCCGCGCCCGCCGCCATCTTGCGCCATGGAAACGGCGGCGGGGCGGGCGCCACTGGGGGAGGGCGTGGCCAAGGGAGAGGGGGCGTGACCTGTTGGTAAAGGGGCTGGGCTAGGATGAAAGGGGGCGTGGCCGACGCGACTAAGCACGATCGAGTGTATTTGAAAAAAAATCTTTTATTACAAATGTTTTATACAAAGCAAATTATAAATACAATCCTCAAAGCAGCATTCGGCAGTTAAACACACTAATAAAGGATTTGCACTTATACAAAAACCTGATGCAAGGAGCAAGACGTTTATATAAATTCCTGTGTACACCTCGAAAAATTACATATAACCTTTTCCTATGTAGGAAACAATTCTTCCCCTTATACCTTTCAGGAGAACTTCAATTATTAGTTACTGACTAAATGAAATTATGAAAAAATGAAATTATGAAATTATGCTGTTACTAAAGAGTTGATTTTTTTAATAACTAAAGCAATGGAAAAAACAGGCAGCATACCTTTATGTTTTGGCATATAAAGAGCACCAATCCAAAAGAAATAATAAGTCTTCCTATTAGCCTGTCAAATGCCAGAGGTAAAGACATGGGATAGTTATAAATCTTAAGAGAAGTCTGCTGTCATAATATAACATTTTCCTGCTTTCGAGTTCCAAATTAAAATCATAAAGACTAAACACCTGGTTTGAATTTGTTGAAGCTACTCTAAGAAAAGGTCTTTTTTCACGAATGAAAAAAAGTTTTCTGTTGCTGAACTTCATTAGGTAATATTATTCTAATGAATATCTATATTCAGAAGGAAAGATATCAAATTAGGAAAAAGGGGCGGCATCACAAAGAAATTACTATAAAGAGGATAACTGAATGTGAAAATACATGAACAAGTGCATATAAAAGAACTAAATTAACATCTTTCAAAAGGAAGTGGGTTCTAAATCATCTTGAAATTTCTGGCTCATTTATTCTGAAAATGATCCTATTTCAGTCCTCAAAACTGGCAGTAAAATCCAACAGAAAGCTGAAGTCCCTGAATATAACGTGAAGGCTCTAATCCTATACTCCAGGAATTGTCATGCTTACCTTTATATAAAAACAAGATTGGAGTCAGAGCTTCCCAGTCTCTGAAATCTACCCAGAAACATGAAAATTTGCAGTGACCTTTTACTACACAAGGTTCTGTATCTTAAACAAGCTGCATCTTCTGTTTCCTATTTACAACTAAGCACGGTTTACATGCTAATACAGTGATTTGTTACTTAGAGGGCTGTGTAGGAAACACATGATTTAAATATTTGTCCCTAAGAAACAAACTATAACACTGTGTACAGTTCTCTCTCATATTCAACAGAAAGTGTCAGCAATTTGTTAGGTATATTCCATTTCACGGAATTACTGGAGGAGGTAATCATGTATTTACATAATGCTGTTATGCAGCTAACTTTAATTTCTTCTTCTTAGCTTTCATGACAGGTGGCAATGATATTTTGAAAGCAGTCCTGAAATAACATTAAAAGACAACTGTTAGATACGCTCAACATATTTCCAAAACCACCTCTTAAAGAAGAAGAAACACTTACTCGCATGTACTACAAATAGGACTGAAGTTGCAGAATACTGAAAAAAAAATAAAAAAGTGGTTGCTTTCACTAAAGTAGTTCCTTTGAAATATTTAAAAAATTTTAAATATTCATAAACTTACTAGACAAGCACACAGAGCAGACATATCCAATTTCAATGAGATTTCGATGACAGAAACATGCAGCTCTGTAGTCAACATGTATTGGAGGTGGAAGGACAAGCTGCGCTCTTTGCTCTTGATCGGGAAGAAATACCCACTATATGAACAAATAAAAAGTATTTTACACATTGGTAGAGTATTGCCCTGAAATGTCATCAATATGATTTCCTGTCTACCACAAGAAAAATAGCAAAGTTCTTATCCAATAACTTACCAGCAAATATTGCAGAAGGGATGGCATGTGGAGCACTTTCAAGTATATGCCGCCTGTAATGTCACAAGCCTGGAAAGCAGAGAGAAGAACACTTAGAAATTGTCCTTTAAAATGGTGCAAGAAAGAGCGTCCCTTTCAAGACTACACCACAAAAAGAACTTTAAACATGTTCAACCATCTGCCATCAAATATCTAAAAACTACTGTAAATAGCAAATAGGAAGTCCGTACCTGCTGCAGAAGACCTGAATCAGAGTCCAAGACACAAGCATCAATCAAAATACTCTGTAACCAAAAAAGTGAAACTCATGAAAAACAGAAATTCAACCAAAGTCAGTGTAACCCCAGCATTATCATCTTGATTTGTTGCAACTACAAATACACTCCACCTTTCCATGTCCAAATTTTAAGGCTGTACATCTGTCATAGAAAAGTTCTATTCCTTGAGCAGCACACAAATCCAAATTTCCAGTCTCCACTTTCTAACACATGGCAATAAAGTATCTATTGGGAAAGTTAGCTTACATATTATCTATGAGGATGGAAAGGTTACTATCTGTACTTCCAAAGAAATCTTTAAGAGGCCTACTAGGCTTTTATATTCAAACATAAGTGTTTGTTTGTTTGTTTGCTTGCTTTTTTAATTCCTGCCTTTCACCCTGGCCATCTCATAACCTTTCAGAAGTCATAAGAGGCATAAGCAATTTTGTTACACATTAATAAAAAAGTATATATCATATCGCACATATGGCACACAAAATGCCACTTCACCTGTTTCTGTGCTGCAAAGATCACATTCATGAAATTCATATATTGCAGTGCACTGTCTTCTGCAGCTTTTATGACCTAAGTAAAGCAATTGGAGCTTGTTAGTCCACATAGTATTGCTATAGTTCAAAACTCAAAGAAAATTGATGAAAAAAAATCCCTCTTACCAGAATTCTTGATCTAATTTCTTGATTACCTAAACATAAAAAGAAATGCATAAGCACATTGTTTCTACCCCTTGTAGCCTGCCCTTGTAATCAGGTAACATGATCTGATACCTCAGTTAAAATAGATGTATGAGACTGTTTTTTTATTTCCAGTAGCATTAAGAGCAGCAGAAATAGAATAGCTCAAATCGGGCAACTTAAAATGACCCAGACAAGTCTTTACCTATTATTGTTAATGTGGGAAAGGAGGTATCAAAATATACAAGTGTTTATTTGTACATATACATATGCATCCATTTTTTTCCTGATCTTCCAATTCAAGTATTTATGTAATTACCCAAAACAATGGAAAAAAAAAAAGTATTACCTTTTACCTCTTTGCTCATCTTGTTAATATCTACATTAGTCAGCGTTAAGGAACTGTTGCTCTCTTCTCAGATGCCCAAGAAGCAGACATAACATTTTCAAAAATTAGCAGAATTAAAAACAGTATCTGTATGTGTTCATCATCATAGCTAAGAAACATTTTAGGCAGTGTACTTCAGTTATTAGCCAAATCATAATTTTAGAGGGAAAATTATCTCTTTGAATATTATTACAGAACAGTAACAGTAAGACTCATAGCAAAACAAAATCAATATTGTAAGAAATAGTCTTTAAAAAAGAGAGATAGAAGCTTTGAAATTTCAATCACTGAAAGGATACAACAAAGTGCTTTAGCAAGTGATCCTGCTAACAGGGTTTCAGTTTGCTGGCCCTTCATTTCAGCTGCAATATAAGAAAAAATATAAAGTTATTTTATGCATAAAATCAGTTGTTGAAGCTAACCACACCAATTACTGTGCTTGAGTTCTATCTTTGACGCATGGTACTAGTGCAGAGACTCCAGAACTGTTAAGAACATTCCTATTTATTTTAAAGTTATTAAAATTCAGAAGATCAAACTAGGGACTACACAGAGGAAATTCTAGAAGCTCCTTGAAAGCCTCAATATTTTGCAATTAAACACAGAATCATCTTTTCCTTACTTTTTGTCATGAGGTCTTTAATCTCCTCTGTGATTGCATCATTTATTGCCGTTAACAATTCGTATTTCCCATCTTTGCTACCAGAGCAATTGGATTCCACAAAACTAGTGCCATCTCCAAGCAGATCCGCACGAGTCCAACGCTTCCCTGGGTACAAGAAACGACTGAAAGAAAAAAAAATACTATTCTGTCAATATGCATATGAAGAAAAAATAAATAACTGACCGGCCATAGACAACAACACTCAAAATCATAGCTTCCAATAATTCTAATACCTTAAGGAGGCTATGCAAGCCAGGTGATATTCAAAAGCAAAATGGTGTAACGCCCACATTCACTCCCTTCCTTTCAAGGCCCAGTTTATAACAGTGTTCGTGGTGACAAACAGCCCCTTGCCTGAAGGGTAAATTACTTGGTTCTGAGATTCATGAGTAACTGGGAAAGAGGAACCCTCGAATTAGGAAAGTTTCCCCACTTCTTGTATCCTGCTCACTGCACATTCCCCCCCCTCCACCTTCAACATACGTATATTTTATTTTCTGCTTAAATAAAAATCCAATAAAAAACATTTAATTTCTTTCCCATCCCACTTCAGTTAATCTCTGTTTCTAAGGGAACAATAAGCCACACATTCTAAGCTTGGTTTCAATACTACACTACAGCCCAACAAGGATTTGGGGCTGCAGGAGGGGGCACTTCAGACTCGCATCCCGGCCGGCAGCAACTGCACCTCTCCTGCGTGTGACTCGCGATGACAGCCAGCCTGTTGTTCCGGCTCATGAACAAGTGCGAATTCCCCATCACCATCGTCGCATCGAGGCATTTTGACAAGGTGAACTGGTGGAAAAAGAAAGAAAAAAAAAAGGGGGGGGGAAGGGAAAAAAGGAAAGCGGACTAGAGTGTTCGAAGGAGGATTGGAGGAAGAAGCGCCCGTGAGGAGCGGGCGCCGCCGCCTCAGGGCCCGCGGGATG